ATGAAAAAACGCGATTTTTCGGTAGAAAAACGTCGGTAATTTTCGATTTCCAAAAAAGTTTTGGACTTTTCCAAAATAATATTTATATCTTCTATAAGCCCTTCAAATTCGTTAATACGGCCTCCTGGCCCTAAACCTCGGGGTATCACGGGCGAGTCGCACTTGCAGCGAAAATGGGGGCCTACTGGAGCGAATATAAAAAATATTTTCAATGTTAAAAACTATTTTCATTCATCGCTCGTCACTCATCCAAGTCACACATCCGTTATTTCGCGAGAAAATTATATCTACCTTCAAAATGAGTAAGTGTGATAAGTGCAACAAAACTATCACGGCTAGAAGCCCTGGATTTGAATGTGCTAGGTGTGAGAAGATTGTGCATTGCACCATTTCATGTTCAGGCCTTTCGAAAAAGCAGCTAAGTGCGTTGCGTGCGGCGGAGACCCTAGAGTGGACATGTCGAGAATGCTTAGATCTTTCAGGAAGGAAATCCTCTTTCATAGTACCAGATGATGACGACGAGGAAGACGAAGATACGAGTACAGACGCTAATCCATTGGTGCAGCTCGATACAAACAAACTCCTGAAAAATATAAGTGTAGAAGTTCAGAAGGCATTAAACAAAGAGCTACAAGATTTAAAGCAGTCCATGCAGTTCCATAGTGACAAAATGGACGAAGTTCTTGAAAATATACAAGCATTCAAGCAAACCATCATAGATCTGAAGCGAAAAAACATGGAACTATCTAACAAAAACAATAACCTGGAGATACGAATAGGAGCCTTGGAACAACACATCCAACAGTCAGAGCAAGAAAAACTAGCAAACTGCATTGACATAAGTAACGTACTAAACCAGGACGGTGAAAATGTAAAAGACTTAGCGGAAATAGTGGCGGAAAAATTAGGTCAGGCCAAAGAAGACATTATAAGCGCGAAACGTCTTAGTGGCAGGAAGGATCAGCCTGGACCCATAAGAATCGTGGTAAAGGAAGATAGCACACCGGAAAAATGGATATCAGCATCGAAAAAAATCGCTATTCACTCCAATGACGTTATTTTGAACCCATCTGCAGATGTTGAAAACCCGAAGATATATATTAACGCTGCTCTTTCTCCGTATAACAAAAAACTTCTTTGGAACGCAAAGCAGGAACTAAAGAATATATATAAGTACGTATGGTGCAAAAAAGGAATAATAATGGTGCGTAATTCAAGTGAGGAAAAACCGATAGTAATAAGATCTATAAGTGATATCAAAATACTAGCTCATAAAAAGTAGGTAGATACTTTACCATCATTTTACTTAACTAACTTAAGCTACCTATTGTTACTCTTTTCTTTAAAAAAATGGCTTCGACAGTAGAATATGATGTGTATGAGGTAAAAGACTGTTCAAACATTCAATGTTTTCTGGACAGCATTCCTAATGGTTTTGCGAATTTACTATGCTTAAACATTAATATACGCTCGGTAATTAAAAACTTTTCAGCTTCAGAACAATGTATCAGTTCATGCAGCCATTGCGTGGATGTAATAATAATAACTGAAGCTAATATATCTGATTCGTTGTGTTGTTTATATAATATCGATGGCTATAGTATGCGGGCAGAGTTGCGAAATTCTCGAAGAGGTGGAGGTATAATTGTATATGTTCATAAAAAGCACAAATTAGTTGATTTTAAAATAAAAACACAACACTTTGAATGCCTAACGCTCAAAATCACAACACCATTTCGATATTCCGCTGTTCTGTGTGCAGTGTATCGGCCACCGAAAAATAGTAAACATTTGTTTATCGACGAACTACAAAACACTATTTCGAACTTCGGTACAGATTGTGACTTCTTGCTCGGTGATATGAATATAGATCTAAGGTCCGACAGTGCTTTAAAACATAAATATAAAACTATGTTGTACAATTGTGGACTTGTGTGTGGGATATCCGACTACACGCGAATTGAATCAAGAGACAGTAAGACAAGTAAAACTTGCATTGATCATATATTCGTGAGATCCCGCACACAAGAAACGTACACGGCCGCTCTCGGAACCGTACTGGCTGATCATCGTATGGTTGTGCTGGCTTGCCACGCTCCGCGGATACAGGACGCTCCGTGCAATTCGCACAAAACAATATTAGACTATAAAAAATTGACTAATCTTTTACACAATATAAATTGGCAAGCTGCAAATGATATGTCGTGTCCTTTCGAAATATATAACTTTATTAACAATAATATAAATAACAGTTATGTTCAATCAGAAATTAAAATAAAAAACAATTCTAGGTCTTTTCGCAAAAATAATATAAAATGGGTTAGCAGTAAAATAATAAAAGCATGCAATTATAAGGACAAACTATTTATCGAGTGGAAAAATGACACAAATAATAAAATATTACGATTAAAATATAATAAGGCAAGAAATTACGCAAATAAATTAATACAAAAAACTAAAAATGAATTAACAATAAAAGAAATTTCTGAAAATAAAAAAGATCCCCGACTTCTATGGCAGCTATTAAATAGATTAACCGGCAAAATTAAAACATCCATTGACAGTGCATTAATTGCTGCATTTGAGACCAGTACGTGTAAAAAGATTGACATAGCAAACAACTTTGCTCAGACATTTAATCAAAGCGTAAAGTCCATCTCATCAAATTGTAATGTTCGATTATTAGACAGATCAACGTATAGTATGCCCAAAAATGTCACAATAAAATATCAAAAAGCCCGATTAGATAATGTACATAATATTATAAAAAAACTGAATAAAAATAAAGCACCAGGATCTGATGGCATAAGGGCAATCGATATAAAAAGCATAGGTGATAAAATAACCACAGCTATTTCCAAGCTCATTAACGCTAGCATAGTCACAGGACAGTATCCCGACCAGTTAAAGTCAGGAATAGTTCGACCGATATATAAAAAGGGCAGTCATAAAGACTATGAAAATTATAGGCCTATCACGATCCTCCTCACAATTGACAAAATTGTTGAAAAATATATTGGTAACGAAATATATACGTTTTTTAATAAAAATAATATAATTTCACAAAGACAGTATGGCTTTCAACCCGGAAAAAATACTTCACAACTACTTTCTGACTTTACGGATTCTGTTAATAAACATATAGATAGCAAACGACACGTTATCATTGTATTTATTGATTACTCCAAAGCGTTCGATACACTTCGTCACGATATGCTCGCTGATAGTTTGGATGAAAGTGGGATACGTGGTTCTTTATTGGAATGGTGTAAAAATTACTTACAAAACCGAACATACTCGGTGAAGGTGGATGATGCAATAAGTAATAAAATTCATTTGGCGGAAGGGACAGCACAAGGATCAGTATTAGGACCCTTACACTACATTACTTATGTGAATAATCTTACAAACGTCATTAAAACTTGCGAAATGTACCAATTTGCTGACGATACCTGTTTACTTGCTGCTGACCCTGATGTTAACATGGCGCTTAAAAAGTTACAAACTGACTTTACACTACTTTGTAAATGGTCCCATGATAACGGACTCGTATTAAATGACAGTAAAACGAAAGTTATGTATATTAACACTAGTCAAAATGGACTGAGTAGTTATGGACGTACTGCGAAATCACATTTACATCGCATCTATGAACTTCAAATGCGCATTTTAAAAACCATTGTCCCTCGTAAAGTGAGGGAGAAATATAAAAACAATTATCACGTATTGTTCTCTTATTGCTCATTGATGCCGGTTCAGGAGAAATTTAAATATAACATCTTAACAGAACAATTCTTCAATACTGATATTCAAAAGGTTTCATCTCATAGTAAGTTAACTCGAGGCGTTGCAAATAATAAATTATTAATTCCAAAATCAAATAACCTATATGGGCAACGAACATTACAATTCATTGTTCCAAATTTAGTAAATAAGGAAACATAAAACGCACATTAAAAAGTCACTTTATCAATAAATTAAAAATAATTCATTTAAAATAACCGTTACAACGAACCTAAAATAAAAACATTAAAAAAAGTCATATTTATCATTACAATTGGAGCATCCTTTATCTACGATAACTGCATTTCGACTTGTATGCTTAGCTAGTTAAAAAAAAACTTACCCAACCGGTATAGGTTCGTGCGAGTGCAAATTAATTGTCATGCCAATGTTTGTTATTTTCAACATACCCACTTATTTTATAAAATATTGTTATTTAATGATAGTTACTACAGTGTGACAACCTATATTTATTTATTGTAACTAGATATAAAGCGGTGAATGTAGTGCACGAATAAACCTTTCTGGTTTTTGTTTGCACTATAATATGTATTATAATTGTAATATTGCTTGATTAAATAAATTAAATAAAAAAAAATTAAAAACTACTATAAAATATCGTTACTTTCACAACGCTACCGCGAGTACCAACGGCAACGGTTTCTGAGACGCGCTAACGTTACGTTTTTATAAAAAGTATATAAGCACTTGAAAATATCGGCAGTTACACCGCATCATCCCCTTCTCAGGGGATGATCGCTTCAGATGAAGCTTTTAGTCAGTAAGAGACTGACATAACCTTGCAGCCGTCTGTAGGGTATCCATGAGGATTTCACACCCGCTTGGGACCGACCCGACTGGGAGGAAACAAAAACAACGGCGGTTATCATTCTCGTCATTTTCGTATTTAAAAAATAATAATATCGAATTGATTTTGAGTTTGAGACCCATTTTGACTATGATTTAGGTATTTTAGTTGACATACATGGTTTTTCTAATTTGCAGAAATTTACTTGATCCTACACGCTATTGATGTATTTAGAATTTGATGGCGCCTTATGATTGCTTTAAATCGCCATCAAAATATTATGTTTGCAAAAGGTGGTGTGTCTTGTCTGTTTCTTGTATTAGCGATTTTGAAAACAATAGCGAAGGAATTTTCAGTTTTTATTTCACATAAAGTTTATATGCGAAACTCAATTACAATATTTACCTACCTTGTATCTGTCCAGTCCTGTGGGGGCAGTCGCGTATGGTATACCGTAGAAGGTGTATATATTCTCCTCATTATCTTTATATCCCCTGACGGGTCCTTGCGAGGTCTGGACTATTTTTGATTCTCGTTCCTCACATATTACAACACTGTACAGCGCAGCGCAGAATAACACGGCCACCAACCTTGACATTGTGGAGGCGAACCCACTACTGAATTAACGCCTAGGACTTTTATTCGTGTATGTTGTTGTTATGAGGCAATCAAGCCGGCCGGTCGACTGTCAGGGGCACTACTAGCACGAAGTCTTTTAAACATTATCTAATCTGTTTTTTTGGACATATTTCCCATGATTAGTCATAATGACTCTGCAGAAAATAAGATAACTAGAGCTCCATGGGATCCGAGGATCATTAAAATTATTGTAATAATTAGAGTTATTATGGAAAATACTAATTTTGGACGATTTCAAAGAGTTTTTTTTTTTTTTTTCATAATTTTTTTTATTCGATTATTTACAATATGTCTTTTTAATTATGTTATTTTTAATCAGATTTCAACATGTTTAATAATATACTGTCCGTGCTCGAGGCTGCTATTTGATACAGCCAGGGGCACGGGCAGAAGTCTGAAAGAGGAAGCATAGAAGGATAGTAAAGATAAAAGTAGGTATACAAGAAAATAGGGAGGTCAAAAACAAAGTAAAGAAAAGTTGAATCACATTAGTGGCGTTAAAGACTACTCGTTTGCTTCAAGTTGGCCGTCGATGGCCAATCACAGGTACATCAACTGGTACCATCGTCCAATAAGGTCGACTAATAGGGACTGTCTAAGGCGCGGTATTCTGAAGCTGGGAGGGTGGAAGCAGCCAATTCGAAGCGAACGTGTAGTGCTTTGGTTATCAAAAGTATGCGTTATTAATAGAATACAGGGTTCACTCAACACATTCAAGCAAACTCATGCACACATACAGAGAGAGATACCCACACACACGCAATCATACTCAAATGAGTCCTAAGGTAATTATTATATACACTTTTAAACTATTATATAATATAACGTAATTATAACATTCACAGAAAAAAAAAACTAAGAGCGTGCGCTGCGTTAAGCGGGACACAGAGCGGGCACCCGCTCGGCGCGCTTGCTTCATGCCATTTCATAGAGCAGCACCAGCGCTCCGAGAAATGACACAAAAAAAAAAAAACTGCACGGCGAGCGGACTCGCGCCCGACCGACGCGACGTCCCGCCTAAGGCAGCGCAGGCTTTAACAGTGCAATATTGTAATGTACATTATATTGTGATGCTAAATGCATAATTAAACTTGTAAGTATCTATCTTAGTGGGTAAAAGTCAAGACACACCAAAGGACGGTGGGGGAACAAAAAAAAAAAAAAATAGGCCCCGATTTAAGTACATATCTGTGTTGGATCGCATCTCCGGCGGCCGTGGAAAGGACGCCTTTGAACAGGCCTCGTTCGAAGCCTTAGCAAAAATTCTAATGTTGCTTCACTAACTCTGAGTATGTCTAATATATGGATATGTATTCATGATTTGGATAAACCGAGAAGAAATCTAGAAGCCTCAACAGGTATATCGTGCCGTAAACGAAGATTTCTGGTTAAAGCTCAAAAAAAAAAAACTTATAATATACGAACTCAGTGGGAGGAAGACGGTAAAGAAGAGTTATTGAAAGATTTCAGTTTTGAGAATATAGTTTCAACGAGTGCGACAAAAGATTTGAGCAGTTTTGGTTTCGATATAAGATCAGGAATATGAAACGGGTTAATGTTGCTGTTTGAGCATATGGCAGTATGTCTAAGTCTATTAATAGTAAATCTTGGACAATCAGTCAAAAGATGAAGAGGATCTTGTGGCGTCTGAGTGTCACATGGACATGCGCTAGATGCAGCAATGTGAAAGCGGTATAAATAAGAAAGGTGGGCACCATGTCCTGTTAAAAATTGACTAAGAAAGAATGAAGAGGAAGAGATGATTAAGAAAAAATTGTGAATCATTGTTATAGAGGGGAATAAATCTCGAGTGTGGGAGCCTTGAGCAGCCTCTTGGTATCGTTTCTCCCACTCTTTGCGAATGCGAATCCTAGAAAGGCGCTTTACATATGATAATGGGAATCGGTCGTAATCAGGAGCCCTTCTCAAACCTGCAGCGCGACCGGCCTCAACATCCGCAGCCTCGTTACCTGCAATCCCTACATGCCCCCTAACCCAACAAAAACGAATATTTCCAAAAGAGTGGTGTTCGTGAATAAGTTTGTGGGTAAGTGACACGAGAGGAGTGGCGTTGTTGCGCTGACTGAGTGCGTCCAGAGACGATAATGAGTCAGTGAGAACAAGGGTATCCTCGTATTTCCTCTCCACAGCGAGGCAGCAGGCTTTGTAGATGGCATAAAGTTCAGCCTGGAACACAGTGCAAGCTTTGTGTAATTTAAATCTTTTACAAGTAACGGGAGAGGGTGAATCTGGGTCTATGCAAATATAAGCAGCCCCAACGGATTCATTCTCCAGTTTACTACCGTCGGTGAAAATTTGCACGGTATTCGGAAGGCAAGTTTCGTCCACTTTTTGTTGTCCTTCAGCAATAGAGTATTGAACAGTGACGCGATGTGCAGGGTGCAGAAGATTGGAAATGGGTGTAGGGGATTCCCACATGACGTCATCCGGCAGGAACTGAGTAGTTCGAGTTAATCTACTTCTTTCAATTTCGCGCACATGTAGCACCTCCAAATCAAGGGGTGTGAATTGTGCCAGGGCTAAGGCAGCATTAGCTGAAACCGTGCGATAGGCCCTAATGGCTCGGATAGCAAATACACGCTGTAGCGATTGTAATTTACGTCGAACAGTAACTAATTGTGCAACATGACCCCAAATACCTGCCGCGTAAGTAACTGTAGGCACAATTACGTGCCTGTAAATTGTTTCGATATTTTTAGGATGAAGGCCCCAGGAAGGCCGAACGAACAAACACATTCGCGTAAACAGACTTTGTGCTTTATCAATGACATGGTCCACATGTTTGTGAAAACGAAGGCGATGATCTATGACAACTCCCAGTAAAGTTAATTTAGTGCTATAAGGAATGATGGTGTTTAACATTGATAAAGTTGCCCTAGCTGCCTTGGAAGTAAAAGCCAAGGCTTTTGTTTTATCTGGTCCAAAGGTTAATTTGACACCTAGGCCCCAATTTGCAACCATGTCTAGAGCTTGTCGAGCATTTCTTTCAAGTGTGATGGGATCCTTGGCAGAAACTATTAAAAAAACGTCATCTGCATAAGCTTGAATACGACAGCCGGCGGGAAAGGACAGGCTGAGAAGACCATCAAGGATAATATTCCACAACGCTGGCCCACAAGCAGATCCCTGGACGCAGCCTCGTTGGGTGGTAGTGGTAGCAGTGACACCCGCGTGAGATAAAGCCACCGTACGTTCACGGAGATAGTCAGCAACGAGGCGGAAAATGTTGGCGGGACATCCAATCTCCTTTAATCGGGATAAAATGGCGGGCCACCAAGCCTGATCAAATGCCGATTTGATGTCTAATGAAATGGCTACGGTGGGTCGTTTTTCGCCTAAATTGTCTTTAATATAGGATATAGCGTCGTTCAGTGCATGAGTCGTCGAAGAATGTCGTCTGAATCCATATTGGAGTGGGTTAAGAGTTCCACTGGTGGCTGAATGGTGCAAAATTCGCTCCGTAAATAATTTTTCAAGAGATTTTCCAAAAACTGGTATGAGCCCAATGGGTCGATGAGATTTCAAAGATGAACGGTCCACGTTTCCTGATTTAGGGATGATTTTAAGTATGGCAAGTTTCCAAAATTTCGGGAAGTATCCTAGAGATAGACACCGATTAAATAGTCCTGTTATGAGGTTGGGAAAGTTTGCAGCGACTGAACGACAAATATCTGATGTTAAGCCATCGTGTCCCGGTGCCTTTTTTGGGGAGAAAGATTTTAGTACCTCTAGCACCTCCTCTACGGTAAAGTATGGATCATCGGGAGTCGTGGGAGGGTATCTACATAATGTTCTTTTAGCTGCCTGAGCGGGTGAATCCATATGAGGAGGGTCAGCTGGGTAAAAATGTTCTAAGAGGGCCTCAGCTGTCTCTTGACTACCAGCCGTATACCGCCCATAAGCAAGAACTGAGGACGGTGGCCTCCTAGTAGTTCCGGTTCGGAGGATGGGGTTGAGTTGATGGGGTTGTTGAAGAGTTGATTGCAATTTGAAAAAAGGAAATTTGCTTTTAATTTTGTTTTGAATGGTGTTGAAGATGAATTCGATGGAACTAGTGGGACAAACAGGCCTGACTGCATGAATCTTTCACGATTGATACAAATTTAGAAATGGAGTAATTCAGTTGATTATCAAGAAGTGCACAAAAATCTACTATATAATGAAATATTATTAAAAACATCGAATGACACACAATTTTAAGCAAAGGAGCCATATACGCTTTTGCAAACAACTATTGGCATGCTCGACAATTTTCCGAATAAGTGTAACGAAACCTAAAACCGAACATTATAAAAACCAAACCACAATCATTATAATAATTATCATTACTGTGCTCATATAAACTGTGCTTATATACAACAGCAAAATTCTTTTTAAATAAGTAAATATCTTTCAAAATTATGATAAATACAATGGATCCATGTATCAGATTTTTGTCACGAAACAATAAGACCACAATTTTAATACCGGCACATTACTTGGCTTTTGGTGTTTCTATTTGTAAACTTGACAATAGTTTGTCCTTATCATGATGTATGGGGAATGAAAACAATAGACTGATGTCAAGTTTACAAATAGCAAATACGAATAGCCAAGTGAAGTACGGGCATGAGAGCCAAAACATTTGATGATTTCGATGGTAGTAGTCAGAGCGTTTGGACTGAGATCGTGGAAGTTAAGTGACTTCCCCAATTGCTCAGTTTATTATCCCGACCTCCTTTGTGCTTCTGAAGACACGTTAAGTCGTTGGTCTCGGCTGCATCTGCAGTCTTTGTTACCATACCAATCCGCACTGTGTCCGCCCGTTCTCCTTATTACATTGAGTGGGCTTGTAACTCTGATAGGCTGATAATGATGATGATAAGGACATAGCTGACATAACATGCGCCCGTCTGGGGAAGTTAAATCCCTCCAGGAGAACATAGTTAAATAACTCTATCTTTTGGTGGTGTTCCGTTTGTGTATGTGATTAGGGTTATATGCCTGTAAGGTTGGCTTCAAGTCGGCAAGGTGACAGTGGCTGATAGGGTATATTTTCTAGATACATCAGATATGTACGCGTCGGGACTTTACTTGGCGGGAAGGAACTATTTCATGTGCTTCCTAAAATTAACAGTGCCAGTAGACACGCATTTATAATCCGGTCACTTTGTGGTGGCTTTTATATTAGTTATATTATTTTTCAGGGTAAGCCTGAGTTCAAAATATAGTGTACACCGCAGCGACACGAGTGGTGGGTAGTGACCCACCCAATAGTTCGTGAACTGTATATAGTTATGAGTAGATAAAATGTGTATCTGCTTGGTCTTTACCTATGAAATTGCCGTTATTCATGAAATAAGTTTACGCTCTTTTTTTATTTATTCTTTATTTTCATTAATCAAAGTAATTACCCCTTCAATCAAGGCATTTTTGCCAACGTAGTGGTAGCTTATTGATGCCCTTTTTGAAAAAGTCTGTTGGACAGGAGGCAAAAAAATCTTCAAAGACATTTTGAACTGCCTCACGGTTATTGAATTTTCCACCACAAAGAAGTTATCCTTATTCTGAAAAAAGTAGAAGTATGTAGGGACAAGGTCTGGTGAGTATGGTGGATGACTGAGAACTTCCAACCCTAGCTCTTGTAACTTGGAGACCGTTGTGCAGTAAAAGATCGCGTGTTGTCGTGCAGAAGCAGCGGAGCTAATGATTGACCAAAGCTGGTTGGAGATGTGCGAACTTCTCCATTATTGTGCTCAGTTCTTCACAGTACACATCTACAGTAATGCTTATCTCGTTTGATAAGAAACTGTGATGAATGACACCCGTGCTAGACCACCAAACAGTGACCATCAGTTTTTAGGCTATAGTTTTCGTTTGGGGCTTTGTTTAGGTGCTGAACCAGGATCTAACCAACTTGCTGAGCGCTTACGATTGTCGAACAGAATTCATTTTTCGTCACAATTAACAGTGCGATTCAATATGCTCAACAGGCATACAAACGAAGACATATTTGGCCTTGCACTGGCAAGACTCGACTCGACGCCTACTTCGCGCTGGCTTTCATTCATTTCGTGGGACACCCATTACCTTGACATAAACGGACAAATATTGTTTGGATGCTATCATCGAAAACTGCTGCTAATTCAGCTGTAGATTGATAATCATTAGCTTCCACAATCGCCTTTAATTCGTTATTGTCGAATAAAGTTTTCGATCGACTACGGGGTTCATTTCTTAGGTCGAAATTTCTAGAACGGAAGCATTACCCACTTCCGTAATAACGGGTGGTGTGATCGTTAGTAGTGTTCGCTCCGTATACGTCGTCGATGTTGCGTGCTGCTTCTGCCGCTTTGCTGCTACGACGGTACTCATACTCCATAATCACTCGTTTTTTTACGTATCCATGATGTGAAAAACTTACACATGCGCTAAGCATTAAACAAATGACTAAAAAAAACAAACATGTTTTAAAAATAAAAATACTTAAACTAAAATTCTTAGCGAAAATAGAAAAAAATGAACTTGAAATAGCCACTACGACAGAACGGCAAAATCATAGGTAAATACTTATCATAATATGATGATTACTGTCAAAACAATAAAGATGGTCTACTCAAGTCAACTCAAGGACGTAGGTCAAAACCAGTTGTGCCACTTTCGCAGTCACGGTTCGAGGTCAAGTATTATATGTTACAACTGTGATGTGATCAGGTGATATAAAACGCAGAAAACAAGCGATATGCAAAAGTAATACAATACTAACTAAGGACAAGACGAGCTATGATTAAGTAGTAAATAGATTTAATTATAAAACCCAACATCAGAATGTTTATCAAACGTAACATGGTAATGCCCATTCTTCCTATAATTCATTTCGCGAGAAGAGCACAAACGCTTGGGGTTGGCTGGGAGCTCTGTAGTGGCGGCTGTAGACGGCGTCCCACATGCGCCGCCGCTCCTGCAGCAGCGCACTGTCCTGCAGCTCAATACTCTGTCCCAGCAACATATGCGGAGACCCATCTGCACCCGTCGGTGGCCAAGTAGCCAAGGACGATCCTTCCGGGACGGGAGCACTGCAATCACACGGTACAACTTGTATTTTAATATGAAACACAATCAATTCTAGAGTAGGATAAAAAATTAAGATAGAAAATATCATTCTTATGTAAGCATGAGAACTTCAAATCATGCCAAAATCAAAGTAATGAGTCCAATTGGCAAACCGTTCTTTCTAACATTTTTATATCTAAGAGGTTAGAAAGACTCGAGAAGACATTAATTAATTAATGATCCTGATCCTGGCATGGTTATCCTAACTTAAAACTGAATTTGCCAATTCATATTAAGCATGAAACAGATAATTATTCTGATGTCAAATTTAGAGAATAATCTCAAAATCAGGCCTAGTAAGTATAAAAGTAATTTTATGCCTTTAGGTGTTAGGGCTGTCGTGTAAAAAAATTTGCTTACCCTGTTTTAATAAAATTTCCCCACATTTGTCTTAATATGACTTTGTGTTTCTTATAGTCATGGGGCAAGTCTTTTTCAGTATCATTCGAAAACATATATCCGTCAAACACTCCGAAAGTTTGTGCGCAATGAGTGGCTCCCTTTACATCAGTGTGGGGAACAACTGGTATTAGCTCATCAACATAATTATACAAATACAAAAATATTTTATTATTGCCAGCAGCATTTGCGTGTAGCTGGACAGCTTTTAGTATAGGATAAGCAAAAGATACGTCAGACATGAAATCTACAAATGATAATATAGTATCATCATCAACTTTCTTGTCACCGAAATAAAATTCTTTTATATCTTTAGCAGTTAATTCTTTCTCTGCTTTATTTCTAAATTGTAAATCAGGAGGAAGAAAGTCTGAAAATTTCTGATTCATATTATTTTTCCATGTTTCAAATGAATCTATTCTGGAAATACCTTCTTTGTCATTAAAGCCCACAAGGAAGGGAACTTTTTCATAATCACCACTTTTTAGTATATTAATAGGACTATCGGCAAGGAATATTTCTTGTCCGATTTCGCTCTCGATACATGGTGTAAATAATGGTGAAAACATCTCACTAAAAAAAGAATCACTTGTTATTGTTTCAAAAGACGCATTCTTATAAAAATCTTCCAGAGCATAAGCGTCATCTGCATGTTCAATTTCAAATCTTTTCGCAAAACCCTTAGCATTTTCTAGGGGATCTGTTTGCATGGCAAATACTCCAAGGGCGCCACCGCTTTCCGCGATTGCCTTATTAAATAATCCCTTAGCTAATGGTGAAAGCATCAGTAATTCTACCGACACTGCACCAGCGCTATATCCTGTGATAGTGACGTCATTAGGATTGCCCCCGAAGTTAGCTATGTTCTCATTTACCCACTTAAGAAGTGCCACCTGATCTTTCATACCTGCGTTACCTGGTGCATATTGAGTTCCCAGGCATAAGAAACCGTGTATGCCAAGGCGATAGTTAAAGGTGACCGCAATAATATTATTGCTTGCAACTAATTTCTTAACCTTAAGAAGATTCCCGCTTCCGACTTGAAAACCTCCTCCATGTACTACAACCAAAACGGGTAAACTCTTTTCAACCGTGTCTGGTACGTACACATTTGCGATCAAACAATTTTGTCGCATATCTGCGTTTTTGTAAAGATGTTTGAATGCGGGAATTATAGCTTGCGGACATATTATGTTATCGTTATCTGCATCAAACGGAGTTAACCAAGACGGTCCCGGTAAAGGAGCCTGTAAAAAAATGGTTTACAAGTCATTTTCATTAAAGAAAGGGTATTAACTTACATATTTAATTGATAAATGAATTAGATACCAAAGCCGACCAGACGTCAATGAATCAAATCATATTTAACATATCAATATAATCCGTCGTAGCATGTGATTTCACAAAAATATCTTATGGCCACAGTGGTATCATTATAGGGAAACCGGTTATCATATTTCCGTCTAGTCTAAGCTATAAATACGTTTGCCTTTGTACCTACAGCCTTGACCCACACGTCAATCTGCAGTACTTAACAAATAAATTTAACAAAGATGGTACACTCGTGTATATTGCTTATAAATTAATTACACTGTCAGGATACAATTTATAGATCTATAAATATTTATTGTTTGATATTTACAAGTGGTGTTGTGTTTTTAAAATAACATTGTGCAATGTTTTCCATATTGTTCTTTACGTGTTATTAGTTCTGTAACTTATCCTAAATATCGATAGTAAAAATTTTTACTAAAAACTTTTAGTTAGTTTTAGGTTAGTTAAATACCTACATAGAGCAAAGTACGTGTTACTGTATGGTTAAGAAAGGTCTGAGGCTTAGAAGGTAAAACTTGTGCGATTCTATTTTCAGGGTTCCGTACCCAAATGGTAAAAACGGAACCCTATTGCTGTCATTCTGTCGTCTGTCTGTCCATATGTCACGGGTCTTTAGATCGTAAGCGGAATGAGTTACACAATTAAAATTTTGGTTTTTTATGTAGAATGCTTGCCCAAAGTCAAACATTTAGTTCAAAATTCTATTGAGTTCTTTTTCATTGGGGGTCCTCCTATACATGAACAGAAGACGTTTTTTTTCTTTTTTACCCCAGCATATACGTCATTGTCTAGAGCTCGTTGAGTAAGATATAAATATATGTTATTTTGATTAGTTTCTTATTTTCAATAACAAAGACATGGGGCCATGAAAGTTGTCATTTATAGAAAATTTTTAGACCCCGCATTTTTAGATGGAGAATTTCGGTATATGATCTGCCATAATATGCTGTACTATTTTAAAATAAATACTCAAAACTACCATTATAAATGGATTTTGTAAGTTTTTTCTCTTTATCCTAACCTTATATCGATCCTGTCCAGTAGGTGCGGTCGCGTAAGGAATGCCGAAGAAAGTATACAAGTTCTCTTCATGGTCTTTATAACCCCTAACGGGTCCTTGTGAGATCTGGACTATTCTGCTCTCTTGCTCCTCACAAAGCACTGATTTGTACAAAGCGGTGAGAAATAACACTAGCAACAACCTTGCCATTATTACCACGTGGTTGCGCGACCAGACGGCTACTAAATTATCGACCGGACCTTAGTTTACTTATTGCTACGTTAACTTATCATTGTCAGATTGACAACAACATCCTTATACAAAAGTTAGGTAATCTTATCTGCAATATCATTATCAAAAATAGATGTTAATGGAAAAGTAAAGGAAATATTTCAACACTAAACGGGGGGGAAACGTAGTTTTTCCCGTTTTTAAAGAATATTATAATATATTATAATATTCTTTAAAAAAAAAACAAATATGTTTCTTGAAAACGTATAACTACGAATCTTGGGGTGAGGGGCGGCTGAGGTGTGCTCAAGTGTACGTTGTTGGGCAATTCACTTCAACTGTCAATTGTCACTCTTACGACCACCCCGTTCTCCCTGGAAATACTTGGATCTGCTAACAAACAATATTCACTAACATCTATCCTCGAAGCTGAATTTAATGATGCTATCCCATTGATGCACTCCAACATCATGGGAGACACTTCCTGTGACCCGTATTCCATTCTTTCCAACTTCAAGTAACCATTGAACCCCTCTTTCATCCTAAATCCTGTCACTCCTCTAGACCGATCCTAAGAAAGGCCTTCGGTTCTACTGGGAAACGGGAGGCGGCCTGGTAAACTATTAGCCTCTCCTTCCCTAAGGCCTGCGTAGTTGAGCGCCGTAAGAGTAGATAAAGGAGTCCTGGAGGGTTGAGTGAAGTAAGGTCGGCAGTAGTACCTTAACGTCACAACACGGCCTCTTTGATCCGGATTCCAACCGAAACGGTAGACCCTAGTGGGGAAACGGTCACGTGTCCCGTCAGAGGGCTATAGCCAGAAGAGGGGAGGGGGGTCCGGGGCGGCTCGCCGCTCTGGATGGTTAGGGTCATGCTGTCAAGGCAAGAGTGATGAGGAATAACGGGGGTATTCTGAAACGGTAACCCATCCACACACTCCGAGTCTCCTATGTCGCACCTGACACCGACTTTCTGCTCCTATATCAGTCGGTAGTTATGTGCACCGTTATGGGCACTCCCAATTGTGCGGGTTCCAAGGAGAGTAAAAATCCTGTTAGACGTACTCTTATTGTGAGCGTATTGTCTAGTCGAAAGAGAAGGACTGTGGAAAGCGGGAGGAGGGAACGAAAGGCAGCCAGCTGCCCAAACAACCCTAGGTCATGTCCGAGTCAAAGGCTGAACCACCCAAAGCTGAAGAGGAAAGGAGCCGTGAATACGACATCTTGGGTCAAGCGGGCTAAACTTGATGAGACAGTATCTCCTCGAAGAGAACCCAAACGGCCTAAAACGACGACGACCGGGACCGCCCCAGAAACCTACGCGACGGCTGCAGCCTCCTCCGTTCTTATCAGATGTTCCGCCACGTCGAAGACTGGATTCAACTCGAGATCGTCGGCGGAGCTGCATTGAGGAGAAGTTCGAGGAAGCTTTCTTACAGGTAGCGATGAGCAAAGAACGTCCAGCCTGTACGAGGGAGGGTCTTACGTTCTGCAGGAAACCCCTCTATGCGGACGGGTGCCTTCGTTTTACATGCAGCAACAACGCAACATATGGTTGGTTTCAACAGGTGGTGAAAAACACCACTGGTGGAGGCCAGAGCTCGAGAAATTGAGAGGGAGCGTGAGGAACTGCCTTAACAGGGAAATAAATACATGCAGGGACAAAGATTGGGACAGCTACAAAGCTATTAGAGATAAGAACAAGAAACGTATTAGATACTAGAGAACAGCCTCCTGCAGAAACTTCACTGAGGAGATAAGCTCCACCAATCAGGTCAACTGAGTAAGGAAATTGCTTTCCAAGCAAGGCCCTGGGTTGCTAGGTTTAAACCTGCGTCGACCAAATGGCACACTGTCCCATAATCGCGCTGACTGCGACGCTATCCTCCTAGAAACCCACTTAAGGATTGCCAGCCAACAGAACAGGTGACATGGTAAGACGTATCTCCAAGTACAACGGAAGCATGCCGGAGTCTAGCGGAGACGGTAATTACGCCTGAAGGAGTAAAGTGACTGCTTTGCCCCCTTCAAATAGCTGGCTCTGACGATATCTTTCCAGCACTACTACAATGGGGCGAACAGGATGTGGTCGGTGCGGTTACTCGTATATTAAGGTCACGTCTGGCACATCGTTACATTCTACATCTGTGGAGGGAGGTCAATGTCGTATTCATACCCAAACCGGGTAAAACCGACTATACGCTTCGTTATACCGTTCGCTCAGACCTGAATACAAAGGACTACATCGAAACTGTGATCAAAGCAGCTTCACGCAAACTCGGAGTCCTGAGGTGACTAAACACCTTGAGCCTCTTCAATTACGCCGTGACGTGGCGTTCTATCGTTTGTACCATGGCGAGTGTTATGGGGAGTTATTCTCTCTTATTCCACCTTCCCCTTTCCTTCAGAGGACCACGCGCGCTGGCCTAAGTTGTTACCGTTTTACTGTGGCCACAATTCCAACGCGTACAAAGAAATTTGGTGATTCATTTCTTTGTCGCACTATCCGTAAATGGAATGCTCTGCCCGCTCACGTGTTCCCTCCCTCTTACAACCTGGGATCCTTTAAAAGAGGCGTGAAGAAGCAACATGCAGGCCGGCAGGGTGAGGATGACTGGTGTGGCAGGTAGAACTGCTGTATCAGCTATCTTCGCGTCTGGACTTCACCTTCACTTAACATAAGGTGGGGTGGAGTCATTTGTCGGACCTATCTATAAAAAAAAAAAAATACTAACCCGAAATCCTTCAGGCCCCTTATCCTAACCACCTCTGTTTACTCAAGACAATTTAAAGGCTATGCGACAGGCACCTACGTAGTGGAGCATTAATCAAATCGGATCTCCATCAGCCGGTAATATAGAGATAGAAAAGTTCGAGTAGCTGGTGAGGACAGCAGAGGAGCACTGGTGGCACGAGGATGTCCGCAAAAAGAAGTTCTTTCACTACTTTGTGGAACCTTGTAGTTGATAACCTGCTAACCTAGCTAATCTCGAACCATTACTACACCCTAGGGTATGCAGATTAAGTCGGAAGGCACCGGTATCTGCAATACAGTTTTTTAAACTAGTGCAGATATCAATGCACCCACCTTATGCCTATTGTTAATACTTACAACACTGCTAAAAATAATGTGTAACAATTTAAAGGAAGTAAACGTTTTTTTTATTTATATAAATATATATTATATAAACATCCATGACTTAAATACAAATGCTTGTATTAATCATATTTACCCCCACCGAGATTCGAACCCAATAACTCACAAGTAGACGGCGACACTTTAAAACCTGGCATTGATACCACTCAGCAACAAAGGTCGTCAAGGAAAACATTCCCCGATACTACAATAAGTAGTTCCTGAGATTAGCGCGTTCAACCAAACAAGCTCTTTAGCAATATTAAGTATAGATTAGTATTATAAAAATGTAAAAAAATATTTGGTTTTGGTCCGCGTTATATCTATTTACTTACTTACATGATTTTTTGTTTAATCTTACATCATTTTAATAATTATAGTTTATGACACGCACGGCACACTTTTTTTAAGTTTAATAGTTGCAATCAAAAAAGAATGCCTTGTCATACAGTACTCGCACCTTACAGAAGATCACATTTAAATAACACTCACCTGTATTTTTGTCGGTGAGTAAGGTTTTAGGGCTCCACGGGGTAGGGGATTGGTTTAGTATTTTCTGAATCGCAACCATTTTCAGGCTGTAGCGGCGGCTTACCATCAGGTGGGTCATATGCTTGTTTGCCACCCTTTTGACATAAAAAACTTCGGCTTCAAAACGCAATATTTTCTTCTTAAAATTTCAATAACATACCGTGCCGCTATTATCCGTTCTTGATGACTCGGTGTTTCCTTAAAATGAGCTCTAAGTGACCCAATTATATCTGAAGACCATTTTAACATGGACCATTTTAACATGGATTATTAGGCTTGATGAACGAAGTTAAAAATATTTATAAATAACTATTTAAATAAAACGGGTTTAATTTATTACTTTTTTGTCGTCTCGCATCCTTTTCAGGCAATCTTAAGAGGCCTTTGTCTAATCATCCGCGTTTTCGCAAAATCCCTAGTAGTACAGTCATTTGGTGAGAAATATAGTGGTTACCTGGAAAGTTTTCCGGGAGTTTTGAAAACTGGTAATTTTATAAATTTTGAGGTTTCTTTCCGAATTTCGACTTTACCACCTCGTATTTTTGCTGCTCGCGCCGCCATATTGGAAAAATGGCGCCTAAAGGAGGAGCTTTATGGACTTACTTACGCCTTCGCAATTTATTGAAGTGAAAACTTCAATAAATTGTGAAGGTGATAAAAAAGGTTAAACTCGCGTCAGGTTAAACACGTGGGCTGATCGCATTATGACACAAAATAAAATTGGAAAGGTTGTTGACTTTCAATATATTGAACGAAACATAGTAATATTTTATTTTATCATATTATAATAATAAGTCTGTATCTAGGACGTCCAGGTGGCAGCTTTATTGCGAAGAAAATGCATTTTTTTACAATAGATGTCACTAGGTGCGCTTAAATGAGTAATTCTGAGAGATAAACTTTTTAATGTAAAATAAATTGTCATGTTTATGAACGATAGCGCAATAAATAAATATTGTATTCTACAACATAAATGATAGTAATTTTATACTGATAATTAAAGAAATTCGTTCAAAATTATTCCCTAACCATTTAAAAATATCAAAAATGCACAACGTTAATATTCAAGTTTTCACTTCTGCCGGCACTCCCGGATGCACTGCGTGTTTTTTTTTTATATTTCATTTGTACGATTTTTCTATTTTAACATCTGTGTAACGCGCTATTCTGTGGTTTCATACCAACCAACCCATAGAGCAGCCTTTACGTTCCTCGTTCGTGATTGGCTGATACGTATCTGCCACGCGAACCACGTGACGGACTTTTTGGTGGGATCGAGAAGCGTCACTTTAGCAGTTTTGTTAAAAATTGTGTTGTTGCGGATGTTAGTGTCTAATAATGGTGGAATATTAACCACTAAGTGTTCGGGAACATGCACAAGTGCTGGCAAGTGAAACAAAATAGCGGAAAGTGAATTTCGGCGTTCCCTCAAGAAGTCCACGGGGAGGTTCCAGTAAATCCCCACACATTTACTGAAACA